TGGGGGGGGGGGATTCCTGCTTTTTACCCTGTTCACCCCAATTTAGGTGCCTCTGCCCCCCATTCCCTCTCTTGGAGTCTGAGGAGGTAGCTGGACACTTTCCGTCGAGTCCCTCTAGACCCTGACATTCCAGCTGGGCTCTGCTCTCCTGCCTCACTTACCATTAGCCATCTCCTTCCCAGCTTCCCGGATGTCATCGTGTATCTGCTGCAGAGTCCTTTCCCCGCCGTTAAATGCCATTGTTTTCCTGAGCATCGGGACTGGCAAAGGCACCGTCTGCTGTGCTTGCCCATGGCGACTTCGTTTTCTCCTGGTGCGGATGCTCTTCTTGACGTGCGCTGGCCCAGCGCGGTCCCCCGGCTGCTCCCCGGGCGCGGCGCCTCCTCCTCGGCCCGCCCCGTTCCCGTAGAGCGATTGCTGCCGGGCACGTGACGCAGGAGTGCGGCCTGTGCCCGCGGGCCTGGACTGCACTGTGAGTAGCCCTGCATCGTGGGAGCTTCCCATCGCTGCTGTCCATCACATGATACCGCGAGAAGATGGTTCCTACTGGATTCATCAAGGCTCATGTTTTACGAGGCACAGTTTTAAAGTCAGAAACATCGTATTTGTTTGTAGTAGATACTGAAATACCGCCTCTCATTTTAAAGGCTGTGAAACATGGGACTCGATCTTCTGCTCCTTCTACGCCCTTCCTTGCTTTATTTAGCTTCTTAGCTATTTTTTCTGTTATGTATATTATGGGAAATGTGTTGGGTTAACATTTTGTTTTCAGGGTCACTTACAGCCTTCGCTATTGCAGAGTATATTTTCTCTATTCTGAATACTAAGGTAAAGATAAGTTTGGCTAGTGAAGGCACTAACAGAAAAAGTTTAAACTTTTTTCTGTAACATATTTCTTACTTGATTTCCTTCCAGTCAAATTTGTGTTTTCTGTTATCTCTGTACAATATTCATTCCTGGGGTGCCTAGATAAACAAAATATATTAGTCCACTTACCAAAATTCTGCCGTCGATGCTTATGGTTTTATTTTTATAACATTTAGAGAGGGATAAGCTCGGAGAACATAAATTTCCCCCAGGAGGTTGTTTAAACTCAGTTGGCATTTTAATGTGGATCTGATTTGAGCTGGGATGCCGCACGCATGTTTAGGAGAGATGCCCGGACTCTGCTACGCTGTGTTTCTGACTCTCCTGCTTTGTCACGTTGCCTCATTTCCAGAATGAACCTGATTTTGAAACTTTACGTCTTATTTCCTGCGCTAATCATATGAACTTGTGGGGAACCTACATGTTGCTGGTGTGTCTCTGTATGTGATCATGCACATCGACTGATAGAAATAAGGCAAACACTGTCACTTAAGTGTTCCTAACCACCCAGACAGAGCCGAGCGGAAACATAGTTTTAGAGTAAAGTGACCAGGCTCCTAATACCTTCTTCCATTGAACTTCTTAAGTATTTTTTTTTTTGTAATGTTGGTTAGGCAGTAAAAATCGGGGAGGCAACAAAAGTGACCTAATTGGCAAAATGTTTATGTACCCACAGATCTAATTGAAGATGAACAGTGTCCCTGAGAACACAGCTCATTACTTTCTTTCTCCAATGGAGACCGATTTTCCCGCGTTCTACTCCATTCCCATTAAATCATTGTGGGCCCAGTGCCCCAGGAGCTCTTTTTCCTGTCTTTTCTGGCTTGTCTTCTGATTCTCCTCCCAATAGTGCTTTTGCCCCTTGTTAATGCCCCTGAGCACACAGAGGTAGAAACAGGGCACCTATTGTACCCAATGGATGTAGCCAACCCTGTTTCCCACCCCTTCTCCCATAGCATCCTCCCCACTCGCTCGCTCTTGGCCTGAAGAGCTCTTACTCCTCCCTGAAGACTCAGTTTCAAACATCAGTCCGTCTGCGGACCCTGTCTCCCTTCTACACTGAGTCACTTTGCGTCCTCCTGTGGGCTCCCACGGCCCCATTCTGGAGAACCCCTGCCTGTGGTGTGCCTTCGTGCCACCCACAGAGCGTGACCTCCTAGGGTTTGGGCTTGTTTCTTGGACCTAGCGTGGGATCTTACTCGTAACAGATGAACGGAGAGTGAGCAGAAAGAAAGGGCTGTTGAATAAACGAATGTGTCTGTTGGACCCAGACCGGTGCTGGGAAGTAGCATTCAGGTTCCATATCCCGCTCCCGTCTTCATTCCACCAGCACACTCACTTCTTAGGAACGAAGTGTTGCTGTCTCATGTTGGATGATACTAGCTTTAACATATAAAAAGGGAAATATTTAAGACTAGGTTTCCATAGATGGTTCTGAACCTTAGAAACTACCAAAAAGGAAGACCTCAGCCTCATTTCCAGTAAGTCTGCGAGAAGGGTGTAAGTTTTGTGTAGCCACTCAGAAAGAAAGAATGGACTCAATGAATGTGAGAAGTGAAATTATAAAGAGATAAACGTGAGTTAAGTAATGACTATTTTAGTTGTAAAATGCTACTGTAGCATAGAAACATACAGATTTTGAGGCAGTTTGATCATAGAGCAGAGATGGCTGCACAATTTCAAATATTGTTGAGATAAAAGGAAAATGTGATCATTTGAAGATGTGTGGGTTCAGATGAGGATGATGGTGGTGGTGATGGTGGTGGTGGTGATGGTCGTGATGATGATGGTAGTGATGGTGGTGATGATGATGGTGGTGAAAGCTTGTTTATGGGATATTTTACTCTTTAGAAGTCTGGGAAAGACTTCACATGTGCTGTGGAGAAATTCTCCTGAAAGTTTTAGTTAATGTTAGAAACACAGTCACATACCAAAGGATTGCTTTTTAAATTTAGGCTTATGGTCTGTCTTCTCCTAATTTATGTGTTGTTGTTGTTTTAATTAATAAGATTCTGGAATAATTACTGAGCATTGTCTATAATGACTCCTTAAATTGGAAACTTGGAATTTGAAAAAGTAGGTAGTATTTCATATGTTTAGAAACAGGGTGGTGTCTAGCATTTGGCCTCACTAGGATAAGAGCCCTGATTTCTAGTCGTGAGACTTATTAATATGACGTTTATGCAGCCTGGAGATTCTGAGGGCCCCTCAAGTGTTTGAGACACATCTGCTTCTGATCTGTGGGGTGTGTACTCACTGCTGCATTTTTCATTTGTTTTGTTTTATGTTCTGTCTTCTAAGTGGATTATTATCCCTTGAGAGTTTAATAAATGTTAAAAATGTCCTGCTTTTTGTGTCATTGTAGGTGCTGTGGTCTTTGGAAATGGGTCATTGGATATCTGAGGAACCGTTCGAACTTTCCGACTCCTTCCCTGCGGCTCCCGTAAGTCAGACTTTATTTTGTGATGGTAAATACAGTTGGTGTTCTTGAGAAATTATTATTAGCGTAGCTATAAACTCAAGTATTTATTACATCAAGAACAATGATGCCCATAACTAAGAAGACATTCACAGAACTTAACACTTTTTATCTGTTTTTGAAAACAAATATGAGAATGTGAGAATGTTCTGCAAAAAGTTGGCGAGGGATGCTGTCTCAAAAAATTTTAACAACAGAAGTCCTCAGGACTGAGAAAAACAAAAATGAAAAAGACTGGATTCTTGAGATGGTAGTATTATATCTTGCTTATAGCTTTAAAAGATAACACTATTACTGCCCATGGGGATAGAACGGCTAGGTATAAAAATTTTGGCTTGCCAGCATTATGATGTGGACTTTATGTTTTGATATTTTTCCTAAACTCAGCTTCAACTTTATTGAATTTTAAGTATTTTGAATGCCAACGGAAGGGTTCCAGGTTCTGATTTTTAGGGGAAGATTAGGAATAATCTAGTAGGTAATTTCAGGGCACTTGGAAGCAGGGACTGTGCAGAAGCTGGCTTTCATTTTCAAAAACTGATTTGTGATGGTTTATTTATTCAAAAGGTTATTACCTGAAAGATAAATGGTGGTTTTTATCTGTGACCAGTCTTCATGTGGTTTTGGCTGTTTTGAGTGTGACGTGTGATTATCACATGACAAGAAGTTGACCTCTGCCCCAAATCGCTGTGGTTTTCAAGGTTGTTGGGTTGTTTTGTTTTCATTTTTAAGATTACTGCTTTGATTTCCTGTCAACTCTATAAATGTTTTCTTAAGGAGAGAAAAAATTCCTCTCCGCAAGACTCTCTAAAATGCCATGTAAGGGACTGAAGCATAGAGAGAAAACACCAATTCCCCGATTCTCTGTAGTCGAGAGTATGTGACCCTGAATCACAGTGCGGCTCACCTTTCGAATTCCTATAACCTGCCTGTGTGGCGAGTGATGTAAATTGTGTCGTCAGTTTCTCCCTGATCATCTTCCCCACTCAGTGTCTGCCCTGTGGTCATCCAGATCCCATGGAAACTTACTGTTCCTTTTCAACCAGTGATATGTTCTCATCAGATGTTCTTTAACTCATACGAAGCAGACACCTCTGTTGAATGTGTAGAGTCTTACTCGTGATAAGAGGAGGTTCCTGTTCATATGCTGCTGAGAGAGTGGAACACAGTGGATCGAGGAGAGCGCCCTACCCTTGCAGAGTCCATAGATTGACTCACCTGTGGAATGTTCTAGCACTGAGTTCGGGTGGGGCAGGCCCGCTAAGGTCAGATAAGTCAGAGGAGAGATATGAACTAAAGGACACAATGTGTAGCACAGTATAAGGGAGGCAGACATAAAGTGAATGCTGGTTGCAGGTGAGGCTCTGTGCTTCCTGAACCGAGTCAAAAGCAGATGTGAGAAACACACTTCCAGATTATAGTGCTGTCCACCAGTGTCCACTAGTGCTCACCATGCTATGAAAACCTTGGTCAGAGTTAACACTCTAGGAATTAAAGTAGTCCTAAGCTTAGCACCCGTGCTCTCAAAATCTTCTGTACACGTATGATTATACTATAAACATCAGATTTTGGTTTTGCACTTCAAAATACTTTTTAGCCTGGCCAGTGTGGCTCAATGGATTGAGCGTAGCCCCAGGCACCAAGAGGTCGCTGGTTCGATTCCTGGTCAGGGCACATGCCTGGGTTGTGGACTCAATCTCCAGTAGGGGGTGTGCAGGAAGCAGCCGATGGATGTTTCCCTCTCACCGATGTTTCTATCTCTTTCCCTTCCTCTGTCTCTAAAAATCAATGAAAACCTTTTTTTTTAAAAAAACACACTTTTTAAAAAGTGTTCTGGTAAACATTTAAAAAGTATCTTACTAATGCAAATTATTTTTTCCCTTACATAACTTCAGGGGGGAGTCTAGCTCGAGAAGTATAACTTCGTACACACTTTAAATGGAAGGGTTTTCTCAGCCACAGGCTAATATTCTACTTCTCTAGGCTACGTGCTTCTAGATGAGAAAAAAGACCCCGTGTTAGGGTAGTGAGTAAAAGATAGTGAGGTAAAGTCTCTTTGTCCTGAAATTAGATGTATAATTTTCTTCATTGGTTATTAGAATTTTCCTTGTCAGGAGGCATGATCAGTTGTTTTGGAGTCAGACTGCAGAATTGTAATTATTATCATAAAAGTCAAATGTAGTCATCTCACCTAATAAGTTATATTTAATTACTAAAAATACCTTCATATTTAACAGTCAGGTAGCAACAAAAAAAATAGTACAATCTTTACATAACGTAAAAGAATATACATCCTGGGAGATCCTGGAAGTTTCCCATATAAACGTGAAATCTGTATTTGAGCATTAACTTAAAGCTAAGCCAGAAACATGTATGTAAATCTGTTTTCAGAAAGGAAATGTAAAGCACCTAAGAAGAGCAAAAATGTTCATAACCACTTCTCAGAAAGTCCCTGAATCTATATATATATGTATGTGTGTGTGTGGCTTAGAGAGCTCTCTCTCCTTAATTAGATAGCGATGCAGCGTCGAGGACCTGTAGGTATTTACACAGTCTATAAACAGTGCTCAGAGGAATGCAGTCCCGGATTATCTCTGCCCTGGAGCCCAAGTGTCTGTTTTCCAGTTATTCACTGATGGCCTCGCACATGAAGTTCTTGGGGTGACAGCAGCGTCTGTGGACCATCAGTCTCATTCGCGAGTTACACTGGTCTCTGTAGATGTCCTGCCAGGTCACAAGGTGAAGGTCTGGGGTGTGCTTTGGTTCGCTGAGTGGTGCAGGTGTCGGTGGTGGAGTTTGGAGGCTCTGATTCAAGCCCGCGGGCAGGTGTCCATCTGAGGGGCAGAGGGGACCAGATGCAGCTGCATCCTTTAGCGCTTCGGAGTCGAGTCTCTGACGGCCGTGCAGTGTACCACCCTTGGGTGTGTGCAGCATTCAGAAATCCGCGGGCCGGATCATCATGGCAGTGGCCTTGAGTGAGTAGCCCGACCCCTTCCAGTAGTACCACTTAATGCCATTGAACCTGTTCATGTTCTGCCTCTGTGGGTAGTACATTCCGTTCAGGTTGGAGGGGCCACAGGCATCGAACCACCAACCTGTGAAAGTAACACAGAAGGAATTAGGAGCTGGGTCACCCTCACTGCCTCCCCATCTCACCGTGAGTCAGGGACTCTGGACTCATCCAGGAGGCACATTCCCTGCATTTTAAATGCACGCGTGTTCCTGGGTGTGGCGTGTGCTGTGTTGGCAGATGGGAGGGGACGCTGTGCACCTTGCATAGGTGAAACCACAGCCCCGTGATGGCAGGTGTTTGTACAAGGGGTGTTTTCACCACTTGCTCTGTCTGTGTGCAAAGGCCAGCAGCCACAGCCACGAGCAGGAGGCCGGCTCCCACAATCCCAATGTCACAGCGTGCGGTAGGGCAGAAAGGATGGGCATGAAAAAGAGGCCTTGTGGACTGCTCTCATCGGGCCACAGTTCCTTTCCAGTTCCAGCGACACGGTGACCTGGATTGATTCAGGCCTCCCTCCTACCAGAGAAATTCTTTTTGTTTAAAATATAACCCCAAGTTTTAAGTGCCAGTGGAGCTGGATAAAAAAAAAAGAGAAATTTAAAGCTATAGTGGTGTGCTCACTAAGTGAAGCCAGGGGGTGAGTGGGTGGCACAGAGTGGGGGGGTGGGTCCCCATCCGCACCCCAGTGCCTGGGCTCGGCTCTAACCCTGACCCAGAAGCTGCAGTATGCTGAAAATGTGTTTGCAGGAAGGGCGTGGCTGTATACACACATGCATTGATCCTAAAACACTGGGTTTGAGGGACAGAGAGTAAGATACCATCTATACAAAATTTTTAAAATACAGAAAACAGAATTATTGATATTTCATACTTAGTAAGATAAATAATGTGAATGAACCTCAATGCAGTGGGTTGCTCAGGGACGGGGTCAGGAGAGCAGCTTTAGCTGTATCTGGACGTTGGATTTCTTTAAAAAATATTCAGATGTGATATTTATGTTATGTTATGTTATATTGTTTATCCATTTGCCTGTGGTCACCAGTTATTTCATCCTGGTGCCTAAGTCTTCCCTGATGGAAAACAGCTCCGGGACTTTAGTTTACTCAGATTAATGTCAGCTCGATAAGACTTTTGTGTGTTTTACTCAGAACCCTTCAGAATACTCAGAACTGTCCCAGGATCATAGATCTGCCCATTCCAGAGCCCGCTGTCTTACTCAGCTCTGGGGTTCACTGCCCCTGCAGACACCTGGCTGGTCATGCGGGGGTGATGCCGGGCCTGAACCCTGGGTCAGACTCTCACCTTGCATCTGGAGCTGTCCTGGTGTCACCCTCGGACTGTTGTTTCTGTCCACTCTACTCGCAGCCCTAACTCTTTCTTCGAGTAAATAAATACATTGCTTCCTTGGTGGGTGAGGTCCCTCTCTTCCTCTCTCTGGGTTTGGTGTGGGAGCAGCAGGTGGAAGGCAGGACCGGGGGTGTTTGGCCCCCGCCCCCTTTCCTCTCTGTTGCTTTACAAGGGTGGCTGTGGTCGGACAAGGACAACAGGCAGCTTCCCCTTGTTGATGGAATTACTGAAATAATGTGGCTAATTGGGAAGGCCTGTGCATCCGACTTACCTCTCCACCCACAGTGTTAATGAGTTTAAGGACAGGAACATGACTGAGTTTCCAGTTATTTTCATAAACCCTTCCTTTTGACTAAAGTGCAGACACCCAGTGGGCCGGGCTCCTTGCCTTGTGTTTATGGAGCACGGACCACAGCTCTTACCTGGGTGCCCCAGGGGGTAGTACATGAACTTCTGTCCATCCAGCTCACAGTCTACACTGCGTTTCTGCATCCCCACCCAGCCTGCCTGCTGCCGAGCTCCCCTGGCTGTTGCACCACCACAGTGTCTTCAGACACTGGACAGCATTTGTCAGGCTGTTTTCTCTCCTCAGTTACTATTGAGTGGCTCCAGTTATCCTATTTTAAACTTTTGGAGATCGGGAGGAGTGTTTCCTGGCGGTAGGCTCCTATCAGTAAACTAGGTATTTCTGAATGGAGGTCTAGCCTTTTAAAGTGATGGTTGCTGCAGCCATAGGCTCAGAGGTGGGTGTGTTTCCATTTTTTAAAAGCAGTCTGACGTGAAAGGTGGGAAACCAGAAGAATCTGAAAATAAAGGCCTTGACTTAAAGCAGCCTGTTCATTTTAATTTGTGAAAGCAGGATAGTTCATCAGTTCCTTTGTGTATGTGTGTATTTGCTATATATTAATGAAATCCTCTAATAAAAGATAACTGAAAATTCTTTGCTGAACAGTAAGTTATTTGTAAACATTTCTATAGCGGTGACTCTATTACACTTTGAGTTGCCATTTTGACTCTTTAACCTTTTTAATAAGAATGAAGCCAGGCCACCTGTCTGGCTTCTGACGCTCGGGGAGCACAGCCTGGGGACGGCTCGCTGGCTGCCCCAGCCCTTCTTGCCAGGCAGGCCCTGGACAGACCCGGCTGCTGCCGACACTTCCAGCTCAGCAGGCTGACAAAGCGAGAAGCATCTCTCACCACCAGGCCAGCATGTCTAGTTATGAAGTTTGGACACTGTCACCCATCACAGGTCGAAGTCCAGCCGGCCGGCCCTCGCGCTTGAGGCCTCTTTGCCAACACAAATAGGAAGCGTCCTACCTCCTGTGAGCATCTGGGAGCATTTGCAGATGCACTTGTCCTTGTCGGCGTCCTTTGTGCTAAAGTCATTTCCCGGTTGGCTTATGCTGCTGATTTTGCCGGCTGTCCCCGTGAGTCCTTTAAGGTGAATCCTGTAAGCGTGCAAAGGGGGGGGAAAGCAGTAATTAGCTTGGGCTGTCGATCTACCATAGTGGAAAGTTTTTATAAAGGATTCCATTCTGCCGAGAGGCATTGTGGGCTGGCTGGTGCACTTGGGACAGAGCCCTTCGCACTGGTATAAACAGGAACCAGCTTATCATCGAATCCTTAGGCAGAGAGGGATGTTTTCGAGGAACCTTCAATGCAGGTCATTTGCACAGCATCATTGGGGACTCAGGGGCCCTTCCATTTATCTTCCTGCTGCTTTGAGATAAACAGGAAGTGGGGCTGCGGTGTGGGGGGTCCTCTCTCCAGGTATGAGACATCACCCAGATAGAAATGAGAGCCTTCGGGTGCCAGGACAGCCTCAGGCACCATTGTTTTCAGTGGGTTGGTGGGGGTGAGGAGACCAGCAGGCAACAAGGAATGATCATAGAATTTGAGTTGAAATCTGCAGAATTGAGTCAAAATAAGTCCTGATGGCTACTTAGCCTTGTGTCTGTATAGTAAATAATACACCTGCTAGACACAGAGAAGGGAATAAAGGTGCTGATAAGTTAGACAGCAGGTAGTAGCCCATCCTTTTTGAGGATTGTAGATGTCTGGCTTGCCCCAGCTCCTGTGTGCTGGGGAGGAGAATGGACGGGAGAAAGTATGGAAACCCTGCTTCAGGGGTGCCATGGGCAGCAGCTGGGCCCAGTGCAGCCGAGAGCAGGGTTCATGTGCCATGTGTGGCTGCAGGATGCAACACTGCTGGGTTGGTGGGTGGAGTTTGGAGCCTGGGGCATTGAGTCTGCCCGTCCTGGGGATCCCACAGAACGGAGCCCTGCAAAGTCTCAGGGAGACCTGCACTTTCATCCCCCAGACGATGCTCGTCTGTGACACCGCTCACGTTGGCTAACCGTTACCCTAGGAGGAGTGTAACTTCCAAGAATTCACGTTGGAGCAAGGGTGGAGAAGAGGGGAGGGTCACTGGGACTGACCAGGCTCTGCCTCATCGGTGTATTTTTCAGTTTCTGACACTTAGGGACTGTTTCTTTAGAAAAAGCACCGCAGTTGTATATAATGTTGACATTCCGAACCATTTGTGGTTATTCTAAGTTTCACTCACGTAGTAGTTCTCTTATCACATGGGCATGTTTTATTAGAAGAATAATTTTTTTCAGTGTAATATCTGTCTTACTCCGCCAAGTACATTAAGCTTAGCTTTAAACAAATGTGTGCTTTATAAAATGGTATATCCAGAAACTGATTTACATTTCTAAAGGAAATCTCTGTTGTTAACTAACTCAGATTTAAATATTTTCATGTCAGCAGACGAGGGTAATGACCCATCTGTAAAATCTTCTTATGTAAACAGCCTAATCCTTAATGTCTGTTTCTTTTTTTAAATTCCTCTGTTGTAGATGCCTAACTGTTGCCAGTTGAAACAATATTTAGCTTGGAGGTAAAACAATGACCAACAGCTCGTGTAAAAATTCCTGGAAGGTTCCTCTCTCTGGAGTGTCCTTGGAGCTGGGGTGAGGTCCAGACACCTGTCTTGTCATTGATCTGGGCCATGGCCTCTCCGGGGACCCCGCTCTGTCTGTGATGTGCATCTACCAACCGTTACACTGACTTCCTGTAGCTCAAGTTAGTGCTGATTGGGTGAGATTTATCTGTTTTCAAAGGTGCTTCTGCATTTCTGTCTGCTCTTTGCAAAGCAGGCCTGTAGGGCAGTTTTCAGGTGGTTGTTTAGGCAGCTGACTCCACCCTCTCCTGTGCTGTACATTGTGGTCTCCCCAGGGAAGCCAGCTCCAGAGCTGCGGAATTGTGTTCCCTTGAGCAGAGGGTCCAAGCTGGGCATCGATGGGGTTTAGGTGGGGCTGGAGGCTGGACTATGGCAGTTTCGTGTAAGGTCTCGTTGCGTTTGGTTCACCTCTGACCTCAGCAGGTATTCCACGTGGGCTTCATGGTCAAACACACCACCTGTCTGCTCTTTAGGCTCCTTCAGGGCATAGTGGTGGCTGAACTGTCTGTGGGCCCTCGCAGACCAGCTCCTTGCATTTCTGAGTTCCTCCTTGTGTAACTAGGTACCCATAGGTGCCTTTTCTGTTCGAGCCTCACACCGCAGATCCTTGGGGTCCGGCTTTCAGACCCCTGGCTGCTCTGTCTCTGCTGTCACCGTGGTTTTGAGCCAGAGTGAATTCCGGGCCCAGGTTGCCCTACTTTCCTTGGAACATTCATGGCTAGTGCCCCCAGCTAGTGGACAAGGTAAGTGCTAGGACAAGCTGCCACAGAGAGCAGGGGAGGTAACCGCAGACCCTCCCCAACTGTCCCATGGAATTCTGTCACTTTTTAACTTGGCAATTCACCCTGATTTTGGGGTGGAACTTAACAACTGGATGTGTTTAAACTACAGAAAGACAGATTTAACTTTTAAAGCCTTTTGGTAAAAAACAGTAGTCATAGGTGTACATCTGTTAGGATGTTGTCCCTACTCTACTGTGAGGACACCCCAGGCTCCACAGATGGCTGTCGAATGCCTGGCATTGGCTGCTGCTCATCTGCGCATGAGGACATAGAGCAGGCACAACAGACAGACCCCATCCTCAGGAGGCGTTAGCATCTTCAGTAGCCTAGCGTTTCCTTACCTGTAGTTGAGGTCCTCGCCTGAGAGATAGAAGTGGTCATACAGGGCCTGGGCCTCCTTGCCCTCCCAGTCGGTGAGGCGGATCCTCAGCACGTAGTGCTTCTGATTGGTCACTTGTGAAACAAACTCGTTTCCCAGCCAGTGCTCGCCCGAGGGGTTCCCGAAGCCCTGCGAGCCAAGAGTCAGGGTCAGCCCCTCACTCATTTCCCTCGTGTGTTTGAAACCAGTAGCCCATCAGTCTAACCCCGGTAATTATCGGATAGAGGTTCCACAGAAACCCTTCCCTGTCCTGGGAAAATGTGAGGTTCTTCATATGAGAATGTTGATCTGTAAAGGCCAATTTTAAGAAACTAAGCTGTTCTGGGAAGAAAGTTGGTGTTAGAGTAATTAGAACAACATGGGGAACCACCAACAGAAGCATCAGCACAAACAGCTATGGGTGCGTTAGACGTGTGAAGGGCTCACCGGCAGCGTGAGCTGCCCTTGAAAGCAGCCTGGGGCTCGTGTGCCTTTGTTTCGATAGAGGGTTGGTGTTACATTGACGGGACCATTCTGTAACGGGGGGACCAACACACAGGTAAAGGAACCCTTTGGTTTAAAAAAAGAATTGTCTCAAGTCATTGGTTAGTTTGGATTAGTGGTGACAGTTCTGCAGATCTTGAAAGTTACTTTTCACAAAGAAAATTACTTTCAGATGGTTTAATAAGATTCATACCACTTTGTATTCTTTCCACGTCCTCTGAAAGTCGACGCTGCCATCCTCCCGGCGCTGAAAGATGGTCCACCCCCCTCCGGCAGTCTCCATGTCACAGTATGCCTGCCAACAAGAGGGCATGGTTACTGCGTGCAGATCCATGGCCCAGGTCTTGCTGCCCAGCAGCATTGCTGACAGGGTCCTTTGGGGTAAATCTCTGTGGTCTTCCAAGAAACAGATGGTTTTAAATAAATTGAAAACCATGGATTTAAAAGGATGAAAAATAAACAGTAATATAACAATCTAGTGATGAAAACACGACTTTCTTGTCACCTGGCTTAGGCCGAAGACCCACCCAGTGGCTGACCTCAGGGGTTGCTGTTCCTCAGAGAGTCGCTGTGAACGGGATCTCCTGCAGGTTGGCCCAGACCTCTCATCTCAAATCTATACAAGCGCATGGACCCCATGCACATCCCTAAACACCTGTGTGATAGTCAACTCTGCCGGAGTGATGTAATGGGGTCCTCTGGCTATTAGGGTTCCAAGCACTCCTGTTATATGACGGGTCGTAGGGCTGTCCTCCTTTCTCTGTGGGGTCAATTCAGGATTGTTGGCCTGTCCCTCAGCTCGAGGGGCCTGTGGGACCCGAGCACGGCCTGGCTGGGCTGCCCAGGGTCATGAGGCAGGGTCCCTGCACTCTGCTCACTGCCCATGGCAGTCCTCCTCCCAGCTCTTTGTTCCTGCTTTCAGGCCAGCTTGGAGGGTTTAAACTTTGTTCAGAACATGGAATTCTTTCCTGGGCTGAGAGTGTGCATGCTAAATTTCAGCTCAGCTGGAGGCTTTCTATGAAATTAAAAACCCCTGAAAATGAGATAACATAAATAGTTTTAAATAATGAGGTTATAGTAGAACGAAAGAACTTTCCCGAAAGAGAAGATAAATTTCCTACAGCATAGCAGGTAGGAGATGTGAAAGTCAGGGCTCACAGCCCGTGAGGAACAGCCTTGCTTTGATGCTCTCCCTGGTTTTTCCGGTGATAACGGCGAACATTTTGGCAGAGTGAGTTTAGAGGTGGCGCCCTGTGAGTTAAAATCCTAGCGAGTGGGGCCGAGGTGAACCAGGGAGGCACCTGGACGCGCTCTCCCATGCTGAGGGCCCACCTGCTGCCCAGGCCCCCCAGGGTGGCCCTGCTGCCTGGGGCTTTTCTCTCCCAGTCTCTCCCTTTGGAAATATGTTCCATTAAAAGGAAAGTCACGTTATTAAAAATAAAATGCTTTTCCCATTTTCAGTTGATCAGACATAGGACACTGATCTGCAGGAGGGAGCCCTGCGCCCTGTGCTGGTGTCAGCGTCCTTGTCAGAGGTCACAGCTACTGCTGTGCACTGTGTGCCCAGCTCCACAGAGGTCCACGCTCACGTTTGTCTGACAGCCGCTCGGCGTTGGTGCTAATTGGGTTCTCATTTTTGGAGCAGAGAAGGTTTAGTCCAGTCACGTTCATGTCGTCACTTAGCTGTTAGGTGGGATGTAGGATTTGAGTAGCTCTTTGGTTCCTAATCATATGATATTTTCCACCACACTGCCTCCAGAAACAGGGAAATGTGGCCCTTTGCTAACAGGCGAGCAGCCCCTCAGTTCAGTTCCATGTTGAAGTTGGTCTACAAACAGTCCCCCTCTCATTTGCCCGTGGTCCACAAAGTGGTCCATCCTGCTCACATTCTCCAGTGTCTTTTTAAAATCCACTCGGTATACCAGCTACATAAGCTGCCTTGGTTTGCAAGGTTGTATATGTGCAGAAATGTTCATCCCCCCAAATCCCAAGCGGCGTTTGGTGGGCAGACAGGATTGATGTGATTCCCAGGGACTCCGTCCTTGTTCCAAGAACGTGAGGTCCTCTGATGTCACCGTCACCGTCACTGTTGTGAAGTCACTGATGTTAACATCAGAAGCAGCTCATGGCGTTCTGTAAACCAGTCAACGCTCTGAGATGGCCAAGGGTCACTGTAGGTGCATGAGCGGCGGCAGCCACACTATTCTCTGACTCCGCTGTTAGAGCACTTTCTTAACGTGACTTTGTCCAGATTTTAAAGGAACAGAGCTTATGAAAACCTAAGTAATGCAGCTAATTGGGTCGTGGAACTTTCAGAGAGAGTTGTCCATGTAGCCAGAGGCACTGGGTAGAGATGAGAAAGCAGATAGTACCAGGATGGGGGAGCTGGGCCCTCAGACAGTGCCTAGGACCTCGGGACCTCACGCCAGGCCTCAGCCCCAGGGCGGTTAGTACTGTGACCAGCGCACTGTTGCACGGTTCAGGGGCTAGGGGCTTGCTCCACAGCTCAGTGTCTCCTGGCAAGTAATGCTCAATTTCAAGGTTATGCCGCAGCTCTGAGGCCACGGCAAAGGGCCGATTTAACAGCAAACACAAACACAGATAACGTTAGGAGACAGGTATTCGTGAAATTGGGGAAGGAACTGTTAGGTCTCCAACTGGCAGACATACACGAATGCCTCCCATACACTCCATCCCACAGGGTCTGTCTGTACAAAGACCTAATGAGGTTTTCAAAAGCAAAGTTGAAATATTTAGGCCCTTTAGGAAAAGATCTCCCCAAACTCTCCTGAACGTTCATGTCCTGAATTAGCTGAAACGGCGTAATTGATGCCTGCCAGCAGACGCCGTCCCCTGGTGTCCGTGGGCACTCACAGTGGTGACCCCTTTGTTCATAAGACAGATGGAGCACCAGGTCCCGTCCTGGGGCTGCTGCTCCACTGTGACCCCAGATCATTCTTTGAGACTGGGGGTGGGGGGGGGTCACATCATGTTACAGGTCAAGAAACAGGGTTCACACCGCTTAGACAACTTACTCAGCAGCCTGTGCCAGAGATTGGCAGGGCCAGAATTTAACCCAAATTTGTGGGGCTCCCTCTTCTAGATCAGACTGTGAGTTACGGAGTATTGTCTGGAAGGGAATGGAAGTAACTTGATCTGGACCATTTCTTTAGAGATAAGGGAATTGTGGTCTGGAAGATTGTTGCTCCCTGCCCTGTGCATGAGTTACTGCAGATGTTTGAAAGGAACACGAATCTTAACGGTTCCAGCCGTGGCCAGAGACTGCTGGCATCCCCGAGTCCTGCGTGTCTCCCTCTTGCTGCCACACACCTCGAGAGGCCGTCTCGAGAGGTTGGTCTCGTGAAAACATGAGCACAGCAGCGGCCTGGCGACTATCCTTCTGGGCCTGTGTCAGTCATGGTCACATTTCACTCGGATCTTCTGTCACTCCTGTGCCAAGAAGAGCCCCACATCTGGTAACAGACGAGCATCCCAGGAGTGTTGTGAACACCAGGCTTAGAGGGGTGAGAGGCTCAGCACGGCATCTGCCCATTTCCTCACCTACAGTACAGTGTTTGGGGTATTTCCTCTCCTAATGCACTGCTTCTAGGGCACCAGCGACATTAGCTGGTTCCCACAGTTGATTTAAAGCAGCACGAATGAATACAAAGGTTTCTTTGGAAAGTATTATCTTCAATAACAATATTTGTCTTTTAAACTCATAATCAGGTTATGTTACCATTTCAAGCCCATGTCTTTAAACCCTTAATACTTATACTTTTAATAAGTTTTTCTTTGTTACTATGCTGAGGATAATAGTAAGTCAAAGATAACACTTCCGGGGGTCTCTAAAGTTTCCTTTTTGATACAGTATCGAGTACCTTTTCCATAAGTGTTTATATTCAGTGTGTAGCTGCTTTCACAGTTAGATGCAAACATGTTTATAGACATTCACTATATACAGTCACCCAGCATTTACTAACTGATCCTCTTGCAGTGTTATCCCAGCTTATCAGACCACTAAGAAAAGCCACACTGCAGCAGTCCCTGGGGAGAGATGTTTTGTCTTCTTTAAAAGTGCAGTGTCTCCCAGCGCCCCTGTGGGAGCCCTGAGCACCCAGCGCTCCAGACTGGGTCCAGGACCACTAGAAACCACTGATAGAGCTGAACTCTGGCCTCTCCTGGTGGCAGGTCCCCTTGTCACTTTGCACAGTCATGGGGGCAGGGGGGCCACACTTGAGTAAGTCCTGTGTCCTGGGGAGGACACTGCTCTGTGATGCTGCATGTTCACATTCCCACCACAATAGCCTGTGGGAGCAGCCTCTCCAGAAGTCCTCTGGGTGTGGCCTTGGGCTCCTGGGTGTCCCCAGACCCTCAAAACAAGTCCACAGGCTGACATTGTTTCCATAGTAACACTGAGACCTTTGCCTTTCCCGCTGTGTTTGTGTTTGCGGCGAGTGAGTGTTTGTGAGTGTGTGAGCCTGCGAGTGCCTGGCATGGAGCAGACTACACTGGAGAGCTGGGTTCCTGCCGCACACTCACAACGGGGGGCCGACCCCGCTCAGGCTGTCTGACAAAGCAGTCAGAGTAATTTCACAAAACCTGCGCTGCAGAGCCCACGCCCCCTCGCATGTGTGCAGGAGGAGACATGTCTAGTCACCTGCACACAGGATACCTACCATGCTTGTCCCAGGGGACAGCTCCTGGGAGCACGGTTTAGGTGCAAGCTGGTGGGCCCTTTCAGGGGTGGAATACCATTGTTACTTGAAATAACGACTGAAAGATGAACTATGGTTATTCATTGGAAGACGTTTTCTTTAAACTTAACCAAAGAGCCTTACTTCAAGGAGGACAGCTGACGGCACCCACAGCCAAGCCCAAGGCCAGGCGAGGGTAGGAGCTAGGATGAGCCAGAGCCCCGGCATGGTGGGCTCCCGGGCAGTGTCTGCAGGAGCTCGGACCTGGGGCCCAGCTGGTCCTGTGCGAGTGAGGCCGGGCGGGCCCAGGCTGTGTGACCGCTCGCAGCTGGGGAGTGACGCCTGGGAGGGAGCACCCTACCTTGATCTCCTCTGTGGAGTTGGGGAACGTCAGCGTGTAGACCCCGCTGGTGGTCAGGCCCGACTTGAAGGCTTCCGCACAGTCCCTGAAGGCCACTCGTTCCTCCTTAGCTGCAGGGGTGCGCTTGGCTGCTTTAGAAAATAGAAGGGTTCGTGTGGGTTCATGGAAAGATGAAGGCCGGATCTCGAGGTGCTCTCACTTGGGAGGTTTTATGACATTTGAATTCTTGTAGGAAGTAAAAAGGATGTGCCCATTTCTCCCCTTCCCAAGAAGGTTCCCCTTCTGTCTGTTTTTATTGACTCTCCGCGGCCATTGCCAGTCGCCCACACGCCGTCTGTCCTCAGCTGCGTGTGATGCAGTACTTCTCAGTCAGCTCTCATAAACTGGCCCTTTTTAAAACCCTCCATCCTGAGGAGAACCAGATAAAGTTATTGCAGAACGAAAGAACCGCCTGGAAACAGCTCCCTGCCAGTGGCCGCACGCAGGCCCTCGGCCACCACGCGCCGAGACCCCGCTTACACTTTCCCTGTCTTTCTACGTACCTGAGGCCACGTCTTTATGTGCTTCTGTAGACTGTTGGGCTAAGACATTTAGTGTTCTTTGAATTTTTAACAACTGTCCCATAATACTTTGTGTTAAAGGGGAACCTAATATTTATTTACCTATGTCTTTGAAATTCTTCATGTAAGTTTAAAATTTCCAGGACTACGAAATTTTTTCAAATTTGAACATTTAGCCCTGGCCAGTTTTCTCAGTGGTGAGAGTATCGGCCCACTGACTGAAGGGTCCCGGGTTTGATTCTGGCCAAGGGCACATACCTGGGTTGCAGGCTCCATCCCCGCCCTTCAGGGCACATGTGGGAGGCAACCAATTGGTGTGAGAGACACATTGATATTTCTCTCTCTCTCTTCCACTCTCTCTGAAAAGCAATGGAAAAAATATCCTCAGTTGAGAATTCAAAAAAAATTTTCAGCATTCAGACTTCCCGGTCCTTTTTTGCAACATTAAAAAACATGAGTGTGTGTGTATCTGTGTGTGCATGTGAGTGTGTATCTGTGTGCATGAGTGTGTGTATGTGTGCATGTGTGTCTGTGTGAGTTTGTGTGTATCTGTGTGTGTGTGTGCATGTGAGTGTGTGAGAGAGTATCTGTGTGTGCGTGTATCTGCATGTGAGTGTGTGTATCTGTGTGCATGTGTGTGTGTCTGTATCTGTGTGTGCATGTGTGTGTATCTGCATGTGAGTGTGTGTGCATGTGTGTATCTGTGCATGTGTGTGTGTATCTGTGCATGTGTATCTGTGTGCATGTGTGTCTGTGCATGTGTGTGTCTGTGTGTGTATCTGCGTGTGAGTGTATCTGTGTGCATGTGTGTCTGTGTGCATGTGTGTGTGCGTGTGTGTGTATCTGTGTGCATGTGAGTGTGTGTGTGAGAGTATCTGTGTGTGTGTCTGTGTGCATGTGTGTATCTGCATGTGTGTGTATCTGATTGTGCATGTATGTGTGTGTATCTGTGTGTACGTGTGTGTATGTGTGTGCGTGTGTGTGTGCATGTGAGTGTGTGTGCGCGTGCACACGCTCACAGTGTTTACCTGCCTTTCATTGGAAAGACCGACCCCCACACAGCTCTCTGGCCTGGTTGGGGTGGTCATGTAGGTGCACACCTCATTCGAAGTGGCGTGTGAGCTCACTTACCGCCGGGCGTGGACACCATGGTCAGCAGGCTGTGCACCGTCTCCATGAGGTCGTGCTGCTGCTTCTGCAGGGCGGAGTTGTTCACCGTGGCCGTCATCAGCTGCTTCTCCAGCTCCTCGATGATGGAGTTCTGCTTGGACACTAGGGCCTGCAGCTGGTCTTTCTCGTCCTTCATGGACTGGAGCTGGACAACGTGCTTGTCCTCCATGTCCAGCACCCTCTTCTCCAGGAAGCTTGTGGGGAAAGCGCAGCTGGTTAGGGGGGTGCTCTGTGCACCTCCGCGCCCAGCGCCATGCGCCCGTTGGCCTCATAGCCCTCACACTATCATTTGTACCTTTGAATTTCTACTTCTCCAAGGCAGATGTCAGAGAAGTTACAAAGTAACAAGATGTTGCCACCGCCCTGTAGGAGCTCTCAGGCTCCCTCCATAGACTGGACAGGTGGCTGTGACATAAATGGGACTTAGATACGAGAAGATACCCTGGTGAGAATATAAGGTCTGTGGTATGTTATCACACCGCGTATTTGAAGGCCATGGTTTCACTGACAAGGAACGTGGACAGTGAGAAGGTGCCCTCGGCGTTGGGAGCACATGTGGGTGGGGTGGGAGCCTGCGGAGCCCCTCCCCTCCTCGTGACCACCTGTGCTACCTGGGCAGGCTGGCTGCTCTCTGGATTGCAGTGAATAAATAGCCTGTCAAAGTGAACGTCCACTTAGGGAAGTAAACCTCTCTCTAAAACACAGGCACTAGATTAGATGGTCTCTGAGGCCCCTTCTGCCTCAAATATTCTAACTCTGTTATGCCTTTGTGGGGGCAGGAACATTTTCTCAGTCTTTAACCCTGTGAACATTACTCAGCCAAGGAACCCACTACACATTAAAGGTCTTAATTGTAAGCATTATTGTTCAGTATTAATAATTATGATCCATTGCAGCTGTTAAATTCATCCAGCCCAGCAGTCAGAGTGAGTCAGGACAGTGAGCACACTGTCAGGGCACCGAGTCCGTCAGTACTGTTCCTCAGTGCAGTCAGTGCATTTGCCCTGCACCAGTTCTACCATATCCATTTTCAACTGTCAGTTTTTTACATTTTTCTAGGTATCAGCTAACTTATTTTTTCAATTTGTATGTCACTGTCATTAATTTAAAAACCCAGATGACTTACCATAAGGAGAAGAAAGGTCACCTGAAAATCAGTGCATAAAGCATTCGTTTTCTACCTAAAACCATTTCTGGTACCTTCAGGGGTCAGGCTCTGGAAACACTCCTGCAGGGCTCGACCTAGACTGTTGACATGAAGTACATGGGCCACTTTTGTCGCTCGTCTGTGCTGCCTTCACTGTGATGTCCCCTCCTGTTGTATTTAATATTCCACAAGGAGATGGGACGGTCACATGGCCCGGAATGGGAATGAACGTAGGAGTACTCAGGGATGAACGTTTTCTCAAAAAACTGTATTTGTCCCAGAACTAGACCAGTGTAGCTGTAGAGGGCAGTCACATCCTGACCCGAAAGGTTTCATCTCAGATACAAGAGTGAGGCCCAGGCTCCAGTCATCCCAGAGCAGACAGGCTCCAAGAACCAGTTTATCATCATTTTGGGTTAAGAACAAATAATTATTTAATTGACGTGATTTCAGTGTGAAGTAGGAGTACATTGTTGCCTGACGGTTCTCCACCTCATCTCTATTCTTCAATTAGAAACAAAGTGCCAGGTGTGTGATACAGTTACCCTGGGAAGTCCCCGACTGGGAGAGACTTAGGAAAGCAGTCCCCCTGATCACCCATAATTCTTGTTCCTGTATTGGTTTTCTTGGGGTTTGTCTATATTTGAATACAATGTAATCATGTAATCTTTATTTTATCTGTGGTTTAGGAGTAAATATTGCATCGTGAAACGTGCTTTGGTTTAAATATAGTTTTCCTGCTGTAGATGATGTGCATTGGGGACAAACTAGCTTCCCAGAGGCAGAGAAGCTCCATGAAGCTGGCAGGAAGATGCCCCGGCCAGTGTCACCCTCGTGCACATACTGGAGCACTTTCCGGGATGTGGAGGCAGGGTTTGGAGGGTGATGGTAAGAGGCTGCTGAAGGGGCCAGAGGATGAAACACAAAATTGAGGACGGTTAGGGGGCTCACACTCTCTCAGTACTGTCCTCAGACCCCTCCCTGCTTCTCCGCACAGAAGTTCTGATCCTCGTGAAATTTTAAATTAGGAAATGTGGCATTTTGGGAGCTTCTGTTTAACAGCCTCTGAAACAGTCTTTCGTGTGGAGAAAGTGTGCAGTTAGGGATTACAAAGTTTCTTGCACTTTTGTTACCTGTTCTGGTCCTGCAGCTTGTTGATTTCACTGGTCTGGTCCAGAATCTGTTTCTCCAGTTTGTTGGTGGAGAGGGAATGTTCCAGAAGCTGGAGCTCAAGCCTCGTTGTCTGATTTAATACCTGGATGTGACAGAATGAAGCTCCTGTTTATCATGTTCACAGTTAGGTACAGCTTCCTTTTAACCGAGTTGCCTCAGTTACAGAAAATGTGACTGAGCCTCTTGTTCTACCCAGGCATCTGACGGGGGCTTGTTTCCATTGTCAGAACTATCTCAAGTTCCCGGATTATGTCAGAGCGTGTTTAAAAGTCCTTTAAGCAGGTGTTTATGTTGGAAAGTGTTTAATAGCTCTGCTCGGTGGTGTTTGTGTCGAATAATAGGATGTCAGCTCTCTTGTTGTGTCGTATACAGTGAGGCAGTCGGGGGATAGAAGTCATGGGTGGTATGCCCAAGACGTGGTAAGTGACAGGCCCTGCCTGCTCAGAACAGTGCTGCTCTGTTCCTCAGCAGCCACCTGCTTCCATTCTGTGGAGTGCAGCTCATTCTCAACCCAGCATTTCCAGGCCACCTGCCATCACTTCCATCTCTTCTTCCTGTTCTGAACCTCAGATCAGCCGGCTGGGAGACAGCACCCTGTCGGGGTGGGATGGGGGCTCGGTTTTGCATGGGGGCCTCCCTGACGTGCGCCACGCGCCCTGTCGCTGCTCCCATTGTGTCCCAGCAACTGTGAGGACGGATTCTTTCGCTTTTGGCTGCCTGTTAGCAGGAAGGCTGCATTACTCACGTCCTGTGTGTCATGGATTTTCAGGATGTGAGGTCACGTGGAAGTGTGAGGTGGGATGTTGCCGGGGAACAGGGGTCCTTGAGGGAGCATTGTTTGCTCTGGGCCCGTGTCATTCATAAAGGCCCAGCCTGGCCCCATGAAAGGAAGGGATGGTCCAGCCTGAGTCCCAGCTGGGTGAGTTCAGGCCATAAACACACCTTTTTGGGTGCACTAGGGCATTGGCCACTGTGATGGTGGGTTTTAATACGAACACCTGGAGCGTGGATTTGGCTTTCATCTTTGGGCCCAAACATTCTATGTTGTTTATGGCTGAAGGAAGTGGAGACTCAGGTCTTTTATTTAACTCCTAATGGCATGAAAGGAGCACAGTGGGGGACATGTGCGGAGGGTGGTGTGTGGGTCCCGACTGACCCAGAACCGATAGCAATGCTTCCATCGCATCCGAGCGCTCAGCTGCAGGTGACTGTCCAAGTTATCAGGGTCGGCTGGTTTTGTGCTGTCTCTGAGATCTCAGACACCTGCTGTCCCTCAGTGTCCAGTTTTGTAGTCTCTGACAGGCTAGAGGAATCTTGCTTCGTACAGAAGTGTTCATGTTTGCACTCAGACCTGTTTCACACGTAACCACTAGCACGTGCTGAGAGTCGGTTAGTTGTACAACGCAGTCCCCCGCTGTCCTGGCTCAGGTCCCGCCATGCTAACGAGTCTGGTTGGATACTCTCGGCTGTTTCTCTCCAGCCGTCTCCCCGTGTTCCTGTTGTCCTGGATCATATGATATGTAGTTCACAACAGGTATTTCACGATCATGAACCCAACCAGAAAAGCTCATTAGAAGCTAGAGTCTGCCTGACGCAGGATGTAGGAAGGTTCACGTCCAAGCTCTGTGCCTCCTTGCTTTTTAATACTGTCTCCTGGACACACAGGAACTGGGTTCCCGCAGTGCCTGGGTGAGCCGGCATCCCACCCTGCTCCCATCCCAAGGTGGGGGTGGGACTTCATCACTACTGATGCATTTTCATAATGGACTGGATATGGTAATACTTTCACGTTGGAATTTTTATAGATTTTCATTCTTAGCTTTTATTACCTCCTTGGATTATAGTTTTTGGTACCTTGTGATCCATCGCGTAAAGTATTTCTGTTTTACCTAAACTGTCCTAATATTGTGGAAAGATCTGGTAAGCAAGTAGTTTCTTGTTCTGTCCTCAGATAAAAGTACCTCGTGCTTCTGCCACCTCTCTGCTGCTCTCTTCTTTCCTGGCAGTTAGGGAGACAGTGAAATGCCGGAGTCAGGTGGACAAGGGTGGCCCTGCCTCCGTGGGAAGCTGTCCAGTTTCTCTTACCCCTGCCCCATGTCCAGCGCCTTGTCCCTTTAGCTGAAACAGCCAGTCGGAGTCATGCCATGGGAATTGTTCACAGAACTGCTGATTTCTCTCTGGGCATCACTTACAGCTCAGAGTGGGAAGGTGCTGGCTCATAACTGACTAGGAAGCGCAGAGGCAGTTCACCCGGGAAGGGGCCGGTTCACCAGGGAAGGGCCCAGTTCACCCAGGAAGGGGNCTCTCTGGGCATCACTTACAGCTCAGAGTGGGAAGGTGCTGGCTCATAACTGACTAGGAAGCGCAGAGGCAGTTCACCCGGGAAGGGGCCGGTTCACGGAGGAAGGGGACTGTTCACCAGGGAAGGGCCCAGTTCACCCAGGAAGGGTCTGGTTCACCTGGGAAGGGGCCTGTTCACTGAGGAAGGGGATTGTTCACCCGGGAAGTAGCTGGTTCACCTGGGAAGGGGCCGGTTCACCCGGGAAGGGGCCGGATCACCCGGGAAGGAGCCGACTCACTGGTGAGAGGCCTGAGCTTGGATCATCTCCACAAGTTCTTCCAGCAGCACTTTCCATCTGGACTGTTCCTGTTGTCTGTGGTGGGTCACTTAGCGGCTCCATGAATTTTGTTTTACTGTTTTGCAGTTAGTCTTTTAATATTTTCATGTTTCATGGTCTCCTTTTCTACCACTGTTAACCATTAGCTCATAAAGCCTTGAAGCTAAACTGGGACGTCACAGTCAGTCACATGGCCCAGCCCTGCTTACGGTCCTCGCTCCGCTCGGTCATCTGCCATGGGTGGAGCCGGGACTTTCAGAGCCGAGCAGGCAATGCTGCAGGCCGCTTCCTCCCCCCGTGTGCCTCTTTCTAAAGTTAGACAGCAAGTGTATAAGCCCATAGGACCAATGGTGCACACTCACACCACAAACTGTACGAGCTTATACCACGGATTGTTTAAACTGTTCTTTGAGATTTAGGTTTTACCTTAAGAGTTGGATTGAAGAACAGAGTTTCTAGCCTCTGCCCCAGTGCCTTTCACTTCTCAGTGCATCGGAGAGCTAAGGACTCAGAGACGGAAAGGACGCCTGGAGTCTGAGGCAGATGAGCATTCGTCTTGTCAAGTGTGAAGCATATGGACAGGATTTCAGTGTCCTTAGTAGAATAAATGTAATTCCGCCACAGCACTAAAATTGAAAACCTGTTTACAGACTTTAAATTCCTATCTAGCTGCAAGTTCTTAAATTCTCACTAAGCCGTCCCGTTCCCCGCTGGACTCAGCCTTTCTTTACTTTTCCACTTTTCTCTGCTTAGCCATACATGCAATTTCGTGCAGCTGTCTCTGGCCAGACCCCGTGCGTCTGTCCTGTCACTTGCCTGGGCCTCGACGTCGGTGAGCTTGCGCGTCTGCTCCGCCGTCTGATTGAGCAGGTTCGTTCCGATCTCCAGCATCACCGCCGTCTGGTTCTGGACCGCGTTCTGCTGCATCTCCGCCATCTCCTTCCTCATGCTGTCCTGGATGTAGGTCTCCAGCTGGAAGGAGCACACGTCAGAGAGACGGCCGTTAGCCAGACGGCCAGAAACCTCAGGCCTGAACATTCCCTACCTTTAAACAGATCCGTTGGGTGACCTGGAACTTGCTCTAACTTTGAAATTTTGCTGCTTGTTTCCTTTTTAATCACTAGCAGTAAAATACAGTGTGTGACTTTATTTAACTCAGGATCTGGCAGCTTGGCAACATCACGCACAGGAGACAGACCGGGAGCCCATACCGCCACGGGCAGGCCGGGGAGGGGAGGGAGCGAGGCCGTGCTCAAGGCGGGCAGACGGGTGCGTTGATGGGCACGTAGGTTGCCTCATTATCATGAAGCGGGGCTTTTTTTACCCTCACCCAAGGAGTGAGGATATTTTTCCCATTGATTTTTAGAGAGTGGAAGGGAGGGGAAGGAGGCGAGAGAGGCAGAGACAGACAGACAGACAGACACATGGATGTGAGAGAGACACACAGATTGATTGCCTCTCACATGTGCCCCGACCAGAGCTGGGGATCAAACCTGCAACCCAGATACATGCCCTTGACCAAACTCAAGACCCTCTGTGTGCGGGCCGACGCTCCAACCACGGAGCCACGCCGGCCAGGGCTCTAGCTATGCCTTGGAAGTGAGTGTTCGTGCATAACTTGGGTACTCAAAATTTAATTTTCCTTCTTTTTTGTTGTTTGTAATGATCCAGTGATGGGAGCCACAATTCCATTCATTGGTCTAGCGGTAACTCATGAGGTTAGAAACCCTAGTTTTATTTTTTTATCACATAGTTATAACTCAAATACTTTTCATTAAATTGAATGATTAAAAATCATTCACCAAACTGCTCATCATACCTTTCTCTAAAACCACAGAAAAACCTCTCATAGAGGCGTCAGCCAGTGTGAGTCCTCCTCGGTGGTCCCTGCCCTGTCTCTGTTCCT